TACTATCGATAGTTTAACCTTTTTTGAGAAAAAATATCACTACTCATCGATAGGGGCAAAAAAATAAAACTATCGATACTATAGATAGTACCATCGATAGTTTGACACCTTTATTGAGTAGGTTAAAGTGCAAATTTCAAAACGCTAGAAATTTTGAATAATTTTTTTTTTGCTGACGGTGCTAGGCATTTTCTTGCATATAAAAGTAGTTGTCGAGCATACTTTATGTGGAAGAAAACGCACAAAACCGTCAGCCAAAAAATTATTCAAAATCAACGCGATTTCCTAGCGTTTTGAAATTTTTACTTTAACCTACTAAAATTTAATTGGTATAAACCAAAAACAAAAGCAAATTGGCCAAAACTGAGCAAAATGTCATTTAACTTAATAAGCTGACCACAAGGGTACAACTGTATGTACAGACATAATTAAAATATGCCCACTAGCTACAGTGGCAGCACTATTGGCTACACCTCTACAAAACTACCGATTTACTCGATAAAATTGAAATCTTCACCTTCACCTTCCACCTTCATTCTGTGACTAACGGCCCTCTTCTCACACCAAAGGCAAAACACTTCACATGACTTGTTTTAAGTACTCGCCTAATACTTTGACGCATTATAAGCATTATTTCGTCGCTCAATATGTCCTTACTGGAGCCCGGATTTTTATGCTAAAAATATCTAAAAGCATATGTATCTATGTATATATATATATATCTGTGTTCGTATGGAATAGGAGCTTATGTCGAAAGGCTGGCTTTAGTATAATGCAGCGAATGACTCACTGGCGCCGACACGTTGAGGAACTTTTGGCAAATAAACGTGCAAGAAATAGTTCCGAAACGTGCAAGAAATAGTTCAAATACTAGCGATACTTCTTATTAAGTCTCATCAAAAAATTCCTTGTCGTTTAAAGAATAAAAGGAATGCCGCATTATACTAAAACCAGCTTCCCGACATAAGCTCCCTGTAGGGAAACTCCGATCTGGTGAACCAAATTTATAGTTCCGTACTAGATATTTATCGCCAAAAATTAACCAGTCCGATAGTAACTAGATCGCCACCAGTTCAAAAGCAGCGAGATGTGGTACTTTTAAAAAACAATTTCATTTTTTTAAATCTATATCCAAAATGACGAATTTAGAACTGATACGAAACTATAGAAAAAGGGAGGCGAACTAGATCTCATATGGCGAATTTCGAACTAGTTCGGAACTACCGAAAAAGGGATGCAGCGGGGGGCTTGTTTACTTTAAGTAGATTTTTGTTTGGCGAGTTTCTCGTTCAAATACGCTTCCAGTCTGCACTTCGCAGATGCTTTTTCATAGTTTGGTAATACAAAACTACAATTTTTGTTAACATTTTAACATTTTGGGAACTTCTGGAATCTAACCAATAACAGCAAGCACCTCTGCAAATTCAGCTACAGCCAAAGGTATGTGAAGTGATCACCAGTAAATAATGGCGTTGATCAAGAACCATAAATGTAAATAATAGATTTACTGCGGAAAGGCGGGACCGTAGGAAAAGTGGCAAAAAATTGTGGAGTTTGCTACTTGAAAATGTTAAGACTGAGAAAAAATATAGCCTAAACTGTTCCCAAGAACAAAGGAAGTCTGTCAAAAAATATTACGGTCCGATATCTTGTGAACTAAGCAGCAAGAAGCGATACAGCCACTACTACAGAAGCGGTTAAGGTATTAAACTTTAATGCAAATCAGTAGACAGCGAGGCGAAGAATTGCCAAATTGAGCGCAAAGGCATCATAAAAGAAGAAATAAGCAAATTTGATAAAAAATACATGTGCGAGTGTGGCAGCATTTTGTTGCATCGCACGAAACCCTATTGGGATATGTTACATCTTTCAGAATGCAATAAAAAGCACATTTTTCAATTGAAGGTTATTTGGTCTGACAAGACAAAATTAATCGCTTTTAATCAGAGGGCCGGGCATGGTATTGGATCAAAGCCCCAAATTAAGCCTAAGCGCATCATGTAAGGCAAACTTTGAATCAGAGTGGTCGGTCAATAATAGTTTGGGATTGTATTTCAAAAATGTTGTTGGTCCGTTAGTACATTACGCACAAGGAACAGTATCTATTCATATTTCAACAAAATTTGCAAGATGTAGTCGAAAAAATGTGAGTTTCTGCTCGAGCAAAAATTTACTAATTCGCGGACATGAATCTCATCGAGAATTTGCGAAATCAACTAAAAGCACAGCTTACTAAGTATCCAGGTCCGTAAAATCAAGTACATGAGATGTGAAAGCAAACTAAGGATATATGGGAGGATATACCTCCAGAATTTTTACAGAGATACAAGTAAGGTATGCCAAATCGCATCCAGGAACTAAACAAATCAAAAGGGTACTGAACATTGTGTTAATAGTTCTTTTTTCGTGAAAATTGTTAATAAGTTCTTAAAAATATACGAGTGCAAAACTTTAACATTTGCAATAATTTACATTTTTGTCTGCTGCTTTTATTATTGTTGTTGTATTGACTTCAAATCATTATGAGATAGGAAGTACAGGTGTACCAATAAGAATATACAACAAAAGTATGAAAGTCGTTAGAACTGGGAAAGACAGCGATGACTGGAATAAAAGTGATACAACATGGTACAGTTTTGCCCGTCACTGTACATTCATTCAAACAGATTTGATATCAGATCGAAAATACAATTCTTTGCGAATAATTAAAAATCGCTATCATGGTAAAACCAAAAAGATAGTTTGGAAACATCTTGTTACTTTTTTCGTTTGTGGATTTGACAACTATAGAAAACAGCGTTCGAAGCGAACTAGATCCCATCTGTGGAATTTAGGACTGGTTCTGAACTATAGAAAAGGTAATGCAGCGGGGGACAATTTCCAATTTCTATGACATCGCCTTGTTAAATTCGCCAGTTGTTTGCATGCAAAAGAGATTTAACGCGAACTAGTAGTGGGTCTAAATGTACTAGAAGCGCACCAGTTCAGAACTAGAGATTTTTCCTACAGAGCTACTATTCCATACGAACACACATATATTTATATATATGGCTGCCGCTGTGGTATAGTGGTTAGCATTGCGCGCTACCACTCCATAGGGCCTGGGTTCAGAACTAGAGATTTTCCCCACATAGCTACAATTCCATACGAACACAGATACATTTATATATATGGCTGCCGCTGTGATATAGTGGTTCGCAGTACGCGCTACCACTCCACAGGGCCTGGGCTCAGAACTAGAGATTTTCCCCACTTAGCTACTATTCCATACGAACACAGATATATATATATATATACATATGGCTGCCACTGTGGTATAGTGGTCATCAGTGCCCGGTACCACTCCACAGGGCCTGGGTTTAATCCCTGGTCAAAGCAACATCGCAAAAAGAATATAGAAAACAGGTTTTTTATTAACAGCGGTCGCCCCTTGGCAGGCAATGGCAAACCTCCGAGTGTATTTCTGCCATGAAAGACATATGTAGTTATGGTGGTACATATTTTTATTTTAGGCTTCATTTTCAGCATACAAATTCAAGTTCTAGTCATAACAACAACGTAGAACACAGTTTTCGAAATAAACATATTTGCATAAATCAGCTGTGCCCCGCCCCGGCCAAAAATTTTATGAAAAATTATTGTTTGTCTAAAATTCATTGTATATAACAATTTTGTTACAGTTTGTTGCCAATGAGAAGCACATCTTTTTCTCAACTTTGAATGCATTTTCCAAAATATTAAAATTACTATTTGGCATGATTTTTGAATGTCTCCGTTTTGCGCGGAAAGAATATACTCATAAAAAGTACAAAAGATCCCCAAAGCAACAAGTCAAGATGGTTATCACAATGACTTAGATTGTTTATAAAAATTAAAATTACAATATTAAAATAAAGAAAAATTAAGAAGAGATAACAACATATCAAATTTGTTTTTAAAATTGCCAAGATTTTTTATACAAAAAAAAATACATTATAACTAATTTATAAAATGGCAATAATAAAATAAAGAAAATTAACTAAGAGAGAACACATTAAATTTGTTTTTAAAATTATCAAGATATTTTATACAAACAAATTGACACTAAAATTAATTTAAAGGTGACTAACACAAAATCGGACCGAAGATTTGCCCATATGTACTTACATAAAAAAATTGGCAACTTTTCCTAAAAGATTTTGGTAGACAAAATTTTAGGCTAGTGGCAACCATGGTACCGGCTATGCGGCAATTTCAGCCCACAATCGGACAAACCAAAATTCATAAATGAATTCGCCGGAGTAAAAATATCTCCTCTGTACCCAATGTTGCCATATGCAGTGTTAACTGTAAATTACTGTTTTTTAGAGAAGCTGACAGTTGTTTATATTACTTCCTACAAATTACACTTTTTTGAAATTCGGGATTTGAACGAATAAATTAAAATTTATCTTTTGGTTGTCTGTAAGTAAATTTGTAAAATAAAAGAGGACGATGAAGGAGCAGCGTTTCCTCATTTGCATTCCAGTCGCCACAGCAAATGTGGAAATAATATTTTTAAAATCCATCTGAATAAAACAATAAATAAACTAGAAATGTCAGCACTCTCTGGTATTTTAAGGACTTCGGATTTTTTAAAAATATGCGGTGATTCGATACCCAATACTACTCAAAAAATAAAAATAAAGCAATTTACGAAAGATAACTGGAATGAATTATGTTAAAACAATGGTGCAATAAGCCTTAATTTGTTAAAAGCTGGTTTTTTTCATCGAAAATACACCTCTTTCCGGAAATTTAGATTTTTGAAAAAAAAAATCAGGCACCACTGTCTATCTCTGCCGCCTCCCGTAATACCCACATATATATATATATGTATCTATGTATGTACTTACATACATATATACATAAGTATACTGGTAACAGAATATCTTCTTACGCACATTCACACTAGATTTTAAACGTAATTTTGAACGTTTCTTGTACTCTTTAAAATAAACCAAAAACGTTCTGAACTTACATTAAATTTACTCAGCGAAAATATTCACTATGTGTTACGTTTTGTCGCCATTTCTTCGGTACTTCTACTACTGTTTTTACAAAAGCTTTTCTGATGGCTTCTTTCTTTTTTGCTGTTGCACCATGAGCCAGTTGGCCCGAATTATATCTCCCTTCTCACTTGTGCACACGTACATACAAACCGCTGTCGCATTCACTGCATGTGTATACACAAACCTTTTTGACTTGATAATTTTTTTTTGTGTTACTCTTCTTCGTCTATTCACTGCTTTTTATGTACACATATTTTTTTAATTGAAGGTATATTTTTTACACACAAAATTAAGAAAACGTACTATTACATTGATGAAATCTCGCATGCACAAAATTTTTGCGCCGTTTTCATAAACTTCACAGAATTAAAGAAATTTTCATAAAACAATCCATTTCACTTCAATATTTATATGTATTTTACAATATTTCCACTTTCATCAAAGCCACCCAGTACCGCTCGACCGGCTATTAGTATTATGTTCGACTAACTTACATATGTAAGTAGAACCACGTAATTTCCGTGTTATTAACTTTATTCTGCCGAAAAGTCAATAAAAAGGATCCAAAAGATAGGCAAATTCGTAGCGATGGAACTAAGCCGCACATACGTACAACCAATATATGTATGTACATACGTAGATACACGTTGAGTACGTGTACTTAAAACCAAGAACCGTTCGAGCTGGTTTCACAAATACATCTGATCACGACTAACACACATTCAGTGCGGCAGCTATTGCGGAACACTACAAAGCTACAGGACAACGAAGTCACAGATACACACGATTATAATACATGAATTCGCCTTGGATACACACTACGCAATAGCCAAGGCGAATTTATGTATATAGCATATTCGTACTCGCCGGAAATGACCAGCGCTGCCAGAAAGCAATGCTAAAAGAATTTCCAAAAAAAAAGAAATATTTTTACCAAGGCGCATCAATTACAGGTGGTAGCGTTAGACGCTATGATTCTTCTTATGAGCACGCTTGTGTCAAATTATCGTCTGTTTTGCTTTATTTACATATCCGCGTATACATACACATATACGTAACAATATACCCTCCCTGCAAACCATTTTTCCAGAGTATTCTGCATTGTAAAGAAGTTTTAAAGAATTCGTTAAGATTTAATTCGATTCTTTGCCGAATTTTCTAAAATGAAATAAATTACGCACACTTCCATTCTTTTACGAAATTTCGGAAGAAAATCTGTGAAGCAACGAAAATAATGGTGCTATGTGAAGAATATCTTTCAGAATTTTTCCAGAATTGTCTTTATTTTTCGTACAGAAATTTCGTTACGAGTTCGCGTCAACCACTTCATATTTTTTTTTTGAAAATTCGTAAAAAAATCGTTACAGAAATGAGATACTCCTAACGATTTCCTTAAGATTTCGGGAACTTTGGTTTGCAGGGCTGCAAACAAATGCTCCCGAAATCTTTAAGAGTATCGGAAATTTGTTACGTTTCTTTTAGGAATCTTTAAAGAAAAACATATGAAGCGGTTGACAAGAACTAGTAAAGAAATTTCTGTACGATTTCTTAGAGAAAATTCTAAAAAAAAATTGTGAAACCTTTCAGAATTATATGAAAACTTGGTATGCAGGGTATACATATACATACGAATATGAGTAGATAAAGAAGATGTTGATGACACAAGGAGTTCATACCAACGGTAAATGTTGTTTTTGTGCGATTGCTACAACCTGTAGTTATTGAATCATGTATATTTACATATTAAAGAAAAGATATACCAGGAATTAAAAACTTTCAGCTATGAAAAAAATTATTAATCGATGTTGACAAAGGCAGTGCAGTTTATATTTGATAGTGCTGATATTAAATCTTTAAAATTATTGAATGACAACACAGCGTAACACAATCAAGAAAATCGAAAAAACTTCTAAAGTGACCGACTAGTCCTAGACCTGGTCGAGTCATATAAAAAACTGTCTTTAATATTTTTACAACACTCTGAAATTCTTAACTTATTCATAAGAACTATTTTCGCATGACAAATCGGACTAAACATCTTTTGCCTCAGTTATGTGTTAAATAATTTTAAGATTAAATATGGATTGAAGTTCTAAACAACAAATAATGATTTATCAAAAATACAAGCGTGAAATTAAAAAAAGTGTAACGTGTATTTTAAGGTGTATTTTATTACGCGAATGCCGATATTGGAATGACAAGTTTATTTAGCACTTTTATAGGTTGACAGGTGTCATTGTGTACAAGCTCTATTTAATATTTTGCTTTTCATTTAACACACCTAATTAACAAAATAAAATCTAAATTTTATTCTATTGCACCCACTTAGAATTAATTATTGAAACCATACATTTCCAAAAATTTATAATGTTTAACAGGGTTCAATCTCTTCGTAAGTAAATCCGTAGGCATATAAGTATACAGTTGGCATATATTCAATTTTAATAGAAATATTTTGTCTACAAAAATGTAAACTTACATCAATATCATTTTATCGCTTATGAAATACGGGATTGGAGCATACTTTTTTTCATTAAAAATAGGAGTAGGGTATAATTCGTTATGAATCCCATGTTGCAAATTTTTTAAATACATGGGTCATTTCCAAATAAAATGTACATGGTAGGAATTTCACTTTTGTTTTTAAGATTAATGAATTTATCCTCTAAATCGTTTACCTACGTGAAATTTGTTGCAGAATACGAAACTGCTTTCAGGCCATTCAAAAAATATTATTCTTTTCATATTTTTACAAAATATTTTCCAGAAAGTCACTTCATATAAAAGTATTCTAAGTAATAATAAAGTTTAGAAACTCGTAGAAAAACGTGTACTAACCGATAAGTATAGTACTAATTTTTAACATTAAAAGCATGATTTTAAACATTTGTATATCATTTTGAAACTCCTTTAACAGATAAGCTAATGTTGAAGTTTATTCCACCTTTTTCATAACGTTAACGTGATGTTTTTTTTCTTGAGAAGCAGACTCTTTATTTAATCTTTCTTCGAAAACAATTTCCCATGCATGTCATTTGCACACTTTTGGAGAAATAAGTTATTAAAATAAAAAATCCCTTTTCACCTAAAAGTGACATTCTTTAAATATTTGACTTTTTGTCTCATTTCACGAAAATATAAAAACAAAGAAATCATTGAAACTCCTTAAGCAATAAACAGACATTGGTAATTATTTTATTTTTAGTGTTTTTTTGCATAAAATACTTGGTGACATTCGGAAAATATTTAGCCGTACTTACCGTCGTGCGTTGATAAATTCACTTAAAAACACAAAATAATTGCTTTTATTAAGTTACTAGCTACTACGGTGGTCCATTCCTGTTACACGGATGAGAAATGAGGTACGAAACAAAGCATATGTTTCTTATACGGGCAGGTTCTGCAAATCACTTCCGAGTGAATTTCAATCAAATTGGCAGGGGTTGAAATTTAATCGAAAGTGAATTGTGAGCCTGCCAGATAATTTTAATTTTGCAATACTTGTGTGTACACAATATTTTTTGTTGTTCCATTCCCTGCGTAGATTAAAGACTGGGTGGCCGACACGGGAACATGCAACTATTGTCGATGTAAGAAGTGACCCGCATCTATATAAATCTAAACCACACTTTGCCAAAGTTTGACTTTGAGCTTTATTACTTTGCTTCCATTACTTTCTTCATTAATTTGTTAACTGTCGCGTGACCTTGCAGAGTTTTTGCTGATTAATAATTCCGCCACATGATAATTCGCACACCTATTTTCAATTAATATGTGGGGCATCCCTGGTAGATCAAGCGAGTTCAAAAATTCTGTTGGATAATTAACTACTTCCACAACAGTGTTAATCGATTTGCATACAAATATGTTATTTCCTCATTTTGAATGCTGGATTGAATAAAATTAGTAAGTTGATAGACATTTTTATTCCCCGGCAAAAATAGCTCGTTCACGGAGCCAATCGTGATTCCTATAATAAATTTAAATATTAGGAAACATTGGTTCTCTTTTCAATGTTACACAAATTATCAGGCAATGAATTTCGTCTGAAACTCTCACCGACTGGCAGCTTTCTGTTCCAAAGTCCAGTGATTGTCGCGGGAATACCTCGGCTGGTTGAACGTCCTGTAGCTGAACACGCATATTAAGGGCCGGTTACTCAATGTCTGGTTAACACTTATCTCCGATTAAACATAGTTACCGATTCCCTGTTGGATGCATGGAGCCGAAGACGTCGATAACGATGTTTAACCGCAGATTAGTGTTAACCAGACATTGAGTAACCGGCCCTAAAGTAGTTAAATGCAATGCATGTACGTAGTAGAGGTATACGCCGCCGAGCCACGCCACCGCCGCCGTTTTTCGTCATTCCTCACGCGTCGCCGCCGAGTTACGAAAATATCGGCGCGGCGGTCGCCAAAATTTTGTACAAAATTTTCATGTTGTATGCAGATTGAAATACATCGTTTGAAGGCACTAAGTACTACTCGTATAAAAATACAAATTTACGAAATGAAAATTATATTTCTAAAGGAGTTTTTTTTTCATAATTTGCGCCACGGGACAAGAATATGACCTTTATTTTTCCAAAAGGAGCGTAACTCAGAAAAACATAGGTAACCTATTTTTCGATCGAAAGCGTTTATTACAGTTAAATTAGTGTCGAATAGTGGTAATCTAACGATATTTTCCGCAGTTGACAATTCTTTTCAATTCTACAACAATACTACTTTTTTATCTTATTACATTAAACGAGCAATTCTTGATATATATATATATATATATATATATATATATATATATATATATATATATATATATATATACATGGGGTTTTCGGAAACGGCTCTAACGATTTTGATAAAATTTTGTGCACATATAATGTTTTGGATTTTAAGGTTATCTGAATAGGCATTATCTCCGAGAAGACTCGTATGACTCGTATAAGGTTGCCACCTATTCGAAATTAGTTTCAAATTAATTAAAACGTCATAATACGGGTATCAAATGGAAAGTATTTTAAAAATCCCTAATTAAAAAATATTTTTAATAGGGTTTCCACCTATTTTGAATTGCATAATTATTTAATTTTTTTTGTTAAGGAAAAAAGGTAAAATATTACTATTCATGGGTACCAAGAGAAGGTTATTAAACAATGCCTGCCCCATATACAAATTGTTATCTCTTAGGATAATAGTGTAAGGTTGCCACTTATTTTCGATTCTACACAATTTATCTAAAATATCGCAATATGGATATCAAATGAAAGGTCTCATTGAGAACTTTGGTCAGAAAATATTTTCCATCAGGGTTGTCATGCTTCTATGTAATACAAATTTTTATTTTGTTAATTTCAATCAAAATTTTTTTTTTATGTATACACAATACATATACGCTCAAGATATCTACCATTCAATCCAGCATATTTCAGAATAGGGTTGCCACCTAAATTATAGAGTAAAAAATTTACTTAATGCATGTCGAAATCCATTTTTTTTTGTTTATTTCCAAAATATTTTTTTAAAGCTATCCAAATCTTGAAATCTTTGAAGAGTATATGCACTCCGAGCAAAGCTCGATCAACCTGGTACTACGCATACTACAACCACAAGAAAGTTATAACACATCAAAAACTTAAGCGCCAATATCTCAGAAGCGGCCGGATTGCATCTAACTCCTCAATTTTTGGAGAT